TTTCCTAGATGGTATTACTTTTTAGAATCATATCATACTCAGCTCTGCCCCAATCTTTTCTTTCAAACTCCCAGTTACTAATTAAAGTCTTAGAATACAGTTTATTTCCTAGTATAAAAGTAAAGTCTGTCCTTATTGAGTCCCTTGTAATTACTCTTTGATGTCTACCTTATATTTCTCTTGAATCTTGTGTGTCAAATATTCTATTGAGTTCAGGTCATTTTTGCAATAAATCTTGAAAGTCTGGCAATTCATTGAATGCCACCCCCTTTTTTCCATTCAATATTATGCTTGACTTTCCTGGGTATGATATTTTTGGCCACAACTCCAGTTCTTTTGCTCTTCCATATACACTGTTCCACGAACACTTTTGGTACAGCCACTGCTAGGTCTTGTGTGATTCTAATTGTGGCTCTGCCTATATTGAATGTTGTTTTATTTTTCTTGTTGCCCATATTTTCTCCTTCAGCTGGGAGTCTCAGAATCTAGCTATGATATTCCTGTAGGTCTTCCTCATAGAATCTCTTTCAGGAGGTGATTGGTGGATTTTTCCTATTTTTACTTTCACCTCTTGTTTTAACACTTCAGGAAAATTTAACTACTTCTTGTATTACCATATCAAGATTCTTTTTTCTGATTGCAGCTTTCAGTTAGTCTGATCATTGTTATGTTTTATCTTCTTGATCTGTTCTCCACATCAGTTTTTTTTCCTTGTGAGATGTTTCACTTTCTCTTCTATTTCTTCATTCTTTCTATTTTGTTTTGTTATTTCTTGTTCTAACTTCCCTGGCTACCCCTTACCCAGTTCTAATTTTCAAGGAGTTATTTTCTTCCTTTTTCTTTTCTTTTTTTTCTTTTGCCAAGACAATTGGGGTTAAGTGACTTGCCCAGGGTCACACAGCTAGTAAGGGTCAAGTGTCTCCTCTGACATTGAGTTTAACTCAGGTCCTCCTGACTCCAAGGCTGATGCTCTATACCCACTGTACCACCTAGCTGCCTCTATTTTCTTCCTTAAGATTTGGGATCTCCATATCTAGTTGGTTGACTCTTTTCAAATCCTCTTGGTTTTTTTTGGATTGTTCTTTTTTTTAATTTTTCCTCAATCTCTCTCATTTTAATTTTTAAAGTCATTTTTTAAGTTCTTCTATGAATTCTTTTTTAGGACAGGTGATTATTTGATATTACTTTTGCGAGTAGGAAAGAATTTTTTTTTAACAATTCAATATCCTTCTCTGCAGATGGACCCTAGTCTTCTCAATTCACATAGTAACTTTCTATAGTTGTGTTATTCTTTTTTACCTACTCATTTTTAAAAAAAAATATGCAGCAATTTGTTGTTGTAATCAGCTGTAGCCTTTGGATATGGGGGATGGTGCCTCTGGCCTCAGGTTCTCCTTTGGTTCTCCTCTCTGGCCTGGAACAGAAACCAAGACCTTTGCCCTCCTGTAACTGTCCACAGCGAGGGTTGTCCCTGAAGTCCCAGAAGTGCACTGCTTCTGCACTTACCAGACATGTGCTGGCTCCTTCTCACCCAGGGCTGTGTCTCAATAGCACAGCTCGGCCTGACATCCCTTATCAGCAGAGGTTCCCTCAATCTTTCCCACTCAGATGCCCAACTCCCCACATTGTCCAGGAGGTGAAAATTCCTGTGGCTAAGGCCAATGCTGCCTCCCAAGGCAGCTAGCCCCAGGGCTTGCTGCTTGTTATTTCAGCAGAACTAGCCTGTAGGTATTTACACTTAATAGATTTTCTTCCAATCTTTTTTAGGTGTCTCAGGAGGACGACTGTTCTGTCCCAACTCTTGTTTATTTTTATCATGCTACATTCACCCTGAGGCACTATTTCCTCTTGTTTGTGGAGGAAATATGGAGAGTTTAGAATTTTCTGACCTACTCCACCTTCTTCCCAGAATCTTCCCCTCCCTGGTTTTTCATCATCTGTAAATTTGATTAAGATGCTATGTATGAGACATAAACAGACACAGATCTCTTAGGCATTCCACCAAAGACCTCTTGACAAGTTGATGTCCAACCAGTAATTACTATTCTTTCTGTCTAATCATTCAACCGGTTTTAAATTCATCTCCCTGTTCTATCACCTAGCCCAGGTCTTACCATCTTTTCTACAAGAATAGCATGCAAGATTTTGCAAAGTGCTTGTATAAAACCTTGACAAATTTTTATCTTCATAATATTTCCCTGACCTTCATGTCTAGTAATCCCACCAAAAAGAGGAATGAGATCAGTTTGGCATGACCTGTTATTGCTGAGGCCATGTTGGATCTCTGTCATGACTACTTCCTTTTCTTTGATGCTTATCAGCAATCTCCTTAATAATGCATTCCAGATTTAGGTCAGGAATTAGAATCCATCTCACTGACCTATAGTTTGCAGCCCTCATTCTGTTCCTTTTTTTTAATAATTGGGAAAACATTCATGGCTCTTCTTAACATTCTTTCAAAGATCAACCAAAGTATCTCAGGAAACACATCTACCTGGCTTTTTCTGTGCTCAAGGATATGATTTATCTACTCCTGATGACTTGAACTCCTTAAAGCTAGATAACTCAGTGGATAGCATGGAATTAGTCAGGAAGACATGAATTCAAATCTTGCCTCACAAACTCACCAACTGTGGCCCTAAGCAAGTCAATTAACTTTTCTCTGTCTCAGTTCTTTCATCTGTAAAATTAGAATAAGAATATATAGCTCACTAGGCTGTTGTGAAGCTGAAATGAGTTAACATATGTAAAGAACAGCTTTGCACCTTTTGAAGCACTATATAAATATTAGCTATTATTATATACTAGGTGCTCTTATCATTTATTTACTTATCTTGTGTATCATCTCCCAATGAGTTATTCTTTTCTGTCCTTTCCAGTACAAAGATAATTCTCTTTGGCAAACAGGTGAAAAAAAAGTTGAGCAGCTCTGCCTTCTCTCCACTCTTAATCATCTTCTCACCCACCCCAAGCAGTAATCACCTCCCTTCCTTGAACATTCTCTCCTCTCTAATACAGCTGCAAAACAACTCAAACTTCATTCTCCTGAACTATCTCACCAGCTCATATACAAAGGTTTATTATGTGCTGTTCATTCCATCTTTGCAATCTCTCTCAAATTTAGTCTCTGCTCTATTCTCACTAAAACCACCTTAATAGTGATTAGTATGGTCACCTTCCTGGATTATTGCATTATTATTCTAACATGTCTTATTGCTTCAATTCTGACAAGCAGTGTGGTATAATGAATGGTGTATTTGATGTGGGATTTAAAAAACCAAGGTTCAAATCCTGCCTCTGATATTTTATAACCCTTCAGTCATTGGAAAACCAGTTCAGTGGGCTTCAGGTTTTTTCATTTATTAGATGGGCACATGAGTATCTACCTTGAGACTCAAATGAGAAAATGTGTGTAAAAGTTTGAGTAATTTTTAAAATGTTGTATAGTGATGAACTCTAAAGGCAGTTTGAAGTATACTTTTTTTAAACTTTATTTTTATTGATTTACTTTGTGTTTTCTTTTGCAACATGACTTATATGGAAATATGTTCTGCATGATGTCATATGCATAGTTAAAATAAAATTGCTTATCTTCTCAAGGGAGGAGGAGAGGTGGGAAGGGGAGCATTTGGAACACAAAATTTTCTTAAAATGAGTGTTAATTTTTTCTACATGCAATTGGGAAAATTCAATGAAATAAAAAATTTTAAAATAAAATAATGCTATCTAAACATAAGCTAGCATTAATTCTTTCCCTCCCAACTCACTTGGAATCCATCCTTTGCATGGTTCCCAAAGTAATCTTTCCCTATGCACAGACTTGGTTTGGTTATTTTTCTTCTCAAAAAAAGAAAATCTTCTGTGACCCTCTACTGATGACCAAAGAAAATTTCAGTTTGGTTCAATAAATCCTTATTATTCACCTATTGCATGCAAGTTACTGTACTAAGACAAAAATGAAAATCCCTGCTGTCCAAGTATTTGAATTCTACTGGAGGAAGATGACACAATCTCAAATAAGAAAGCTTAAGCTTGTATAAAGTAATAAAAATAACTTCAAGGGCAAGATAGAAATAAAGATCCAACCTCCCTCTCCCCTTTTAAAGCATGGTAGGCTTTTCATAATGCTTATATTTTAGGCCTTATATCTTAGAAGATGCTTTTCTTATGCTCTAGTAAAATTGGGCTATTATTCACCCTGGTACATACCCAGTACTTTCCAGTCTTCCTGCTTTTGCTTAATTGTTCCCTATGACTAGGCTATCCTTCCATCCCCTTGATACTGATTGAATTCCTATCCATCCTTTAACAACTCAAATGTCACTTTCTTCATAAAGCCTTCTGGGAGCTCCAATTTGTAACAGCATCTTCTCCTTCCTCCCAATACTCATTAGGACTAGCTCTGTTTGGCCACAGAAATCAGAATTAAAAGCAATGGAGAAGGGAAAGGAGGAGAAAAAAATGGAGAGAAGTTGCCAAGAAGCTGATTTGACTTGATCCAGTGAAAAAAATGTGTGAGATTAGAGCTACTCAACAGTGGACAAAAGCTCCTCCATTGGGAACTCATTTTCCTTCATAGATGGCTTCTAAGGAAGCCTGGATAACAATTTGTCAGGGATTTTAATAGAATTCTATATCAGGAACTGGAAGGGACCACAAAGTCCACTTCATTTAACCCCTCATTTCACAGATAAGGAAACCTGGGCACAGGAGGGTTGTCTAAGGTCTCCCAGGTAAAGTCAGTGCACTACTGCTCAAGTGGCACTTGTAAGGTCCTTTCCAACTCTGATACACTGTTCCCTAGGAGTGAGAAATACATAGCATATGAAAGGAAGGAAAGAAGGAAGAGAGAGACGGAGCGAGAGAGAGATTGAGAGAGAAAAAGAGAGAGAGAGAGAGAGAGAGAGAGAGAGAGAGAGAAAGACTGAAAGAGCAAAATTAAGAGAAAGAGAGAGAGAGAATCAGTGCTCTGTTTTACTGAAAAATCTATCTTCCTACAGATATGCTAGCTTTATCATATCACTGGGAACTACTGCCATGTCGATTTCAGGGATCGTTTCTCCCTTCATTACTGGATACTTCATCAACCAGGTAAAGCATCTATGCTCAAAAATGATTTGAACATACTCACCTGAAGCAATAGGAGGGGCTGCAGTCTATTTCCAGGAATCCTAAAAGTTCACATTAAAATTCCTCAATAAGAACAATTCATCTTTGTACAATGATGTGTGTGAATATGTATCAACCTGTAATGTCATGGACTTAGGCAACTCCCTGAGAGGACATTCCCTGGCTCTGCAGCTAGAGTCTCAGAGTTACCTGAGTCACTGAGGACCTAAGTGATTTCACCAGGGTCCCAAACCTTAGTATGAGGCTGAAGAGAGACTTGAACCCAAACCAGTGCTTCACTACTGCTTCTCCAATGGAGGATTAAAGTTTACAAATCACTCTCCTCACAACCAGCCTATGAAGCAAGTTGTGCAAGGTTGTTATCTCTATATTGTTATAGACAAGGAAATGGAGGCTTTGACCAAACAGGTGCTCCATGGCTACAAGATGAGTGTCACAGTCAGCATGTATATGACATTTCCTCACCCCAAATCCAAGACTCTGTCCACTGCATCTCAGTGCTTCCCGAACCCTTTGCTTCATCATGTTTTGAAGCTTCATTTAATTGACACTAGCTCAATGAAGGGCACTTTAATTAAAACCAAAAATGATAATCTCATAGAAGGCCCTCCCTGACATGAATAATTTCATGTGTTTTCTGAGAAGATTTAGGAAGGTAGAACCTTTTTTTGGACCAACATTAAATCTTGAACTGACAATTTTTGCACCTACAGGACAATGCGACAGGCTGGAAGAATGTTTTCTTTCTATCATCTGGCATTAATCTATTAGGAATGATTTTCTACCTCATATTTGGCCAGACAGATATCCAGGATTGGGCCAAAGAGCAGAGACTCACCGCTTCTGAGGGGCCAGGGAAATGAAATGAAAATTAGTTCTACCAAAAACATCCTTAAGGATTTTTAAGATCATCCTTGACTTCTCAACTCTCAGGCAATATATACCAATGTCAAGCTTGTCTTTTTAATATCCACAACATCTCTTATGTGTGTCTCCTCTTCTCCACTCACTTAGTCACCAACCTACTTCAGGCCCTCATCACCTCTTGCTTAATCTATTGGAATGACATTTTGCATCTCCCTGCCTCATCTCTTCACCATTCTCATGCATCCTCCACACAGCTGACAAAATTATTTTCCCAAAGCACAAGACAGATCATGTCACTCCCCTCTATTCAACAAATTCCACTATCTCCCAATTGCCTCTAGAATAAAATACAAACTACTGTATTTGGAATTTAAAGCACTTCACAGCATAGGCCCTTCCTACCTTTGTGATCTCCTTATATTTTATGTCTTTCCTCACATGTCGCATTCTGGACCTGCTGCATTGCCTTCTCATTTTTCTGAACATATAATATTTTCATCTCCAGTCTCCATGACTGCGCACTCACTGGCATCCATACCTGGAATATATTCTCTCTACTCCTCTGCCTCTTGGAATCTTACATTTTCTTCAAGATTCAGCTCAAGTGCCATGAATTTTTACTGGTCCCCACCCTAGCTGCTAGGGGACACTCTCCCAAAACATACCAATAAAATATTCATTTTGTATTGAGGAAATCAAAATTATTTTGCGCCATTTCATAATTAATTCTATTCTGTAACTGACCCTCTTTTATATTACTGCCCCATTTTGTATAATTGCTCCAGCCACATTTCTCCATCCTTGAGTTAAGCTCAGGAATACAGTTTTCTCTCTGAGTCAATTTAAAGGTATAATTAAAAGGGAATGTTGTTATCACTCTGACCATTACCTCCTGGAACATCTGCTTCTTGTCTATATCTTCCAACCCCTTAACCTGCTGCCATCCCCAAAAGTGATTTCATGCTTGCCTGCAGTTAGAGGTGGTTAGATATCCTCCAATACGACATTGAGGCCAGTGGTACTGATGCCCTAGCAAAGATTACAAAAGGCAGGTGAGTCCCATAAAACAATTAACATTCCATAATTGTCAGAGAGGGCCAAAGCACTTTTCTTTGTATAGCCAATCATAATCTTCCCCAACTAACCTGACCCCTCTTCTCCTGTGTTTCAATAAAAAAAAGATCTCTTCCTTCTCACTGGGGTCACTGGCCTTGCTAAGGTTGCCAGGCTGACCCACTTTGTTAACAGTTATAGACATCATTGTTAATAAATTGATTCTGCTCAAAGTCTGCACTCAGTTTTCAGTTCAGCTATTTCAGTCATGTCAGACTCTTTGTGACTGTCTTTGGAGCTTCTTTGGCAAAGTTACTGGAGTGGATTGTCCTTTCCTTCTCCAGCTTACTTTACATATGAGGAAAATGTGGCAAACAAGACTAGGTGACTTGCCCAGGGTCATGCAGCTACTAAGTGCCTGAAGCCAGATTTGCACTCAGGAAGATGAGTCTTCCTGATGTCAGGCCCAGTACTCTATCCACTGTGCTGCATAGCCTGCCTGTTCCTCAGTTGATCTTTATTGAATTTACTCTAAACAGTACACATTCTGTATATAATCATGAGTACATGGCATCTCACTCATTAGGGTGTAAGTTCCATGAGGGCAGGCAGTGTTTCACTCCTGTCTTCGTTTCCTCAGCATGTGGTCTAGTGCCTCCCACAGAGCAGACACTTAATCCACGCTTGTTCATTGGTTTTAATCTTTTCTTCCCTGACCTGCTGGCTCCTTAGCTATGAGTCTTGGTTCTGGATCTAGCCCTGTTCTTTAGAGATGTGGTCAACCTAAGCAGAGGATGCTCTGATGATTCTATACACGTTTTACTATGGCCTGATGTCCCAACAATATGAACAAACATGTATCACCAAATTACAAAATATTGTACAAGGGACCCTGGTGATCATCTAGTGCAACCGTTCCATGAATAGGAATACCCGAGGAATCCGGTTGGCAGAGGAGCAGAAAACAGTGTAAAGAGGAGCTTTCTCCCCCACTCTCAAACAGATCTAGAAAACACATGAGACATCATACTGATGGGGAAATCCAAGAAAAAGTGACAGTACATAATTTTTCCAGCCCAGCTTAGCACAGGGGGATGAGCAGGTCTGTGGACACCAGACATGAAGTCAGGACCAGCACCTTTCTGGATCATATGCCAGCACCCAGAGCAAAGTGAAGAACTGGGGCAAGAAGAGGTCCTAGACCAATACAAGGTATCCCCAGACATATACTAAAGCACCAAAATGCTAGGACAGATGAAAAGTGGCAGCTTTGTTGCCCACTACCTAATTCCCAGCAACAGATGCCCAGTAGACTAGGAGAGGACCTGCCTCAACCAACAAACGCCAAGTAGTCTCCAGCCCTAGGGGTATACTAAGAAGGAAGCAAGTTCAGAAGCAAGCAAAAGCAGTGTGTCTCAGACACCAGGAGCAGAACAGATTATCAGTTCCCAATTCCAGTGTAGTCTGAAGAATGCAGAAGATTAACCAGGCCATTCCAGACCAAAGGGAAACCTGCAATTCTGTCCTTCTGAACCAGCAGAGCTTCCCAGGTAGCTAACAGTAGCTGAGTCCAGCACCAGTCTCCTCTTTCTCAGACCTGAACCTAGGTCAGAAGCTTGCAGACCTCAGAGCAGAGGGGTAGAAATCTGGCTTTGCACTGAATCAGACCAATATGGAAGTGCTGAAAGCTTGCTGTCCCCAGCCTGAGCTATCCCTGAGATCCTAGAAAAATACAGCACATGACCCCGAAGAAAGCAGCAAGAGAGCCAGCCAGACACTCCTTACAGAGACTACCAATAATATGAAGTCTGAAGTCAGAAGTAGGCCGGAGGGCAGCTGCTTCCCGATCTTCCACCAACAGACCGAGGGGGAATCCAGTGGCTGATCAGAGAGGAACTGCAGGGATCTCTTTGCCAGTGCTGAGGCAGGAATCTCTTACTTTGCCCCTATTTGGATCTGGGTCACTGTTCTGGGCCACAGTGCTGGGTGAGGAGGAACGCTGGCATGGTAGACCTTGGAGTGACTGTGGAGAGGCACCCTTCCTCACAGTTACAGGACAGAAAGGAATACTTGTGGTGACAGTCCAGGGAAAAAGTAAACACCTTGCCCCTTATCATACCACCTTGGAAGAACTGAAAATTTAGAGGTCGCTACAAGTATCTCTGAAAACGGCTACACAAACCCCTGAAGCTTGGGACAATACCTTTGCCACATTGGAAGCAGACTCTTACCTTAACAAAGAGTTTAAAACTCAAGTAATTGGCTGGGATCATGAGCAAGCAGTGCAAAAAGAGTCAGACTATATTATCTTACTTTGGTGAAAAATAAGATCAAAATATACAACCAGAAGAAGACAACAAAGTCAAAGCTCGACATCCAAAGCCTGCAAGAAAAATACGAATCAGTCCCAGGCCTTGGAAGAGCTCAAAAGGGATTTTGAGAAGCAAGTAAGAGAAGTACAGGAAAAACTGAGAGTGATGCAAGAAAATCATTAAAAATGAGTTAACAGCCTGCTAAAGGAGACCCAAAAAAATACTGAAGAAAATAACACCTTAAAAAATATCCTAACCCAACTGGCAAAAGAAGTCCAAAAAGCCAATGAGGAGGAAAATGCCCTAAAAAGAAAAATTGGCCAAATTGAAAAGGAAGTCCAAAAGATTACTGAAGAAAATACTTCCTTAAAAATTAGAATAGAACACAATTGGAAGATAGTGACTTCATCAGAAATCAAGACACAGTAGACCAAATCCAAAAGAATGAAAAAATAGAAGACAATGTGAAATATCTCATTGGAAAAACAATTGACCTGGAAAACAGATCCAAGAGAGAGAATTTAAAAATTATTGGACAATCAGAAAGCCATGATCAAAGAAAGAGCCTAGACATCATCTTTCAAGAAATTATCAAGGAAAACTGCCTTGATATATTAGAACCAGAGGGCAAAATAGAAATTGAAAGAATCAACCGATCTCCTCCTGAAAGAGATCCCCAAAGGAAAACTCCTAGGAATATTGATTCCAGAGTTCCCAGGTCAAGGAAAA